AACGTGATTTTTATATTTGTAAAAGTTTGTAAAAATGTACAATTGTACATGTCTGATTTAGTTAAAGTATATGTAATGTTACTATCATTAAGTTACAGCTCATCTTACAACAAGGCACAAAATAATAATTTTACTCTATTGATGCTACTCTAACCTCAATGTTTCTTTCACACACGAACGTAAATATGGCATCTTTTCTATTAAACTTGTATCCGGTTCTTTACAATCTTCCATAACGCTACGAACCTCGCTTCGTAATTTATCTTGTACATGTGGATTTTTACCCAGATTATATAAAGTCCATAGAATAGTTGTAGCTGCCTAAACAATAAGTAAACATATGTATTATGCAGTAAAATTAATCATCGTATTTAGATTACACTTGAAATGTAACAAATTAATGAATATATTCTGCTATGTAACATATAAGTACTGTACATTAGCTATTTTGACTATGAAATGCGAGCATTACTATAAAATGTCAGTATAAAATGCACAATTATAGTCCATGTATATTGATGACTCCTACCTCTCTACTGGTATACGATGCTAAGCCAGATATGAACAATAAACGAATCACTACAAAAATACTGTGTTATTTAAATAGCTAAGTGCACTGTACTGTATATTATATACTGTAGGATTATATTTCTAGTAAGAGTTGTAGCGTTTTTATATTATGGATTAATATAAATACTATGAAAGTGATTTTCTAAATTGAATCAATGTTGAAGTAGCTAGTATTAATTTAGTTTCTGCACTATTTGTAAAATCGATATGCCCTTTGCTAAATTATTAACACTAACTTCTTATTTGGGTTACCACTAGTATTCTATCAATATTATTATTTATTATTTATTTATTTATTATACCGTATCTACTCCGCCGAAAAGTAATTCCATCATGGCTACATTGGCTTCCCTTCGGCTTAATTTGCCGGTAGCAATAACATAAGTAAGAAAATCGACTCTATCGTTTGATCGAGTTATGTCATCATTGCTCGCAATCTTCTTTTCAATTTGTTTCCTTTTTTCTTCAATAATATCATCAGCGAATTCGCCGGCGATATCGCTCCATTTATTAAGTTCTTTCCAGTGCTTAGTAAAGATATACTTGAAAATGAAGGGAGGGATAGTCAATATTGCATTAGTGGCTTCTAAAATTTTGGTAATAGATTGATAGAACTGTTCAGTTTTAGGTTCGATTGGCTCTTTGAACATTCCCAAACGTTTTTCGAATAGAACAGTTGCAATAGCTAGATATAGATGGTATTTCGTCAATGGATTAGTGTGATGTCATGTACTTTATATCTTATATAACAGTGAATTATATATCTTTGCATGCTAGTGAGGTAGACGTAAAATGAATAAGATATATAAATTGCGTAAGAAGGTTTTCTTGAGTAAATTGATTTGTTTTTACTTACATTCTGTTGTATATTTATTGATTTCTTTCTCGATATCGGGTATAACACCGTCGTTACCACGACATCGTTTAAGACGTTGGATGAGATCATTGCTGACATCATTGATTCTATCAGAATAGCATGTAACTTCGTGTGGTCTCATCATTTTCTTGTCCATCACACTACGAAATTTTTTCCATTCTTCATCTTTTCTAAAATAAGTATTTACACGTAACAGGTATGAGAGCGGTGCTATTATCAGTTTATCGATGATGAAGATGCAGATATTAGATTAGATCATTAATCTATAGTATGGTAATAACTTGATGGAGTTATGATGTCGTGGTATACTGTAGTGTCGCCACTAATTTGGTGTAAGTATTAAGTGGATAGTAGGCTAACTAATTTTAAGTAACGATATTGAATCCAATATGCATCACCACATGACGGTATTGAAGTTATCTTTAATCTGTAGTATAATAATTACTAGATGATCTCGACCGATTTAGTGCGAGTATGCACTAACTGGATAGCTAGCTAACTAATTTTAAGTAACGATATTGAGTCCAGTATGCATCACTGTGCGACAGCATTGAAGTTACCTTCTTGCTGTTCTGCTATTATTATGACTAGTATATCCCTCGCTCATTCTAATTCGCCTTCTATACTGTATATATACAATACTGTGCTTGTTTTTTGCTTTACTATACAATTGTATCACTGACTGACAATTTCCCTGACTGAGTATTTTTATATTATTTCGGTCGAGTAATAATTACTTGATCTATATACTGTATGTAGACACTGTAATAATGTAGACTGGATCAATCACATTATTAAAATATTCAGTCTTTAGTATACAATTGCCACACACCACTAGTGACAAAGTAGTCTCCACACGCCAATGCTTACGAAGAACGCCTCTTACTGACTTAAAGAGGCGAGATTCGCTATATCACCAAATAATTCAGCTCCAACGACCGAATACTATAGTATAATTATAGCGTCACTGATAGTGTAAACGAGGTAGTCAGAGATTGACTACTATTTATTTCTGAAGAAATCTTGACAACCAAGATTATACCCTTGACAATTCACTAGCAATTGACAAACTAGTTGACTAACTAACCGCTTAACTAACTAAAAAGCGGTCTTCAGGCACCAGCCTTTTATAGTCTCGTCAAAAACTCCTGGTGCACATAAAGTAAAACTATCCTTCTAAAGTTGTATCGCAAGGTGTAGTTGGCTAGCAGTATAGCAATATTATTTGGAACAAATATTTTAGTCAATCCTGAAGAAGTTCGATGATGCAACACGATGTTAGAAATATCTAATCCAGTCTTACTTACGAGAGTACGACTCCCATGGATAAATTACGTTTCTTTCGATACTCTACCAGTGGTGCAATTGGATTTCTATTAGGATATTTCCCTTCTGCACGTAATACTTTTTCTGCATCTTCCGATGTTGATACTGCTACAATTTGATTATTGCCGATAGTCTCCTTATAGATTGGTCCATATTCTTGTCGTCTTTTTTCTGTCATTGCAAAAAAATTTTGAAATCCCCATCCATCATTTTTAGCATAATCCAACAGGGTGCCAATGAATGGTAAGCCCTTAGGTCCTGGGATTTGATCCATGGATTTAACATTGGACATTTGTGAATGATCCTCTGTTGGATTAGCAGAAGTCGTGGAATATCTCATTCCTAAACATAA